GTTGTATTGGTCAACTTACTGCGCATCAACCCGATGTCTATCGACGGGTAGGGCGTAGAGAAAGCCCTCCGGCTCCGGGCGGCTTCTCTATGTTTTGATTTCGCGGAGATGGAGATGGGTCTCGGCTCGGGGAAGTGGCAGGACCAGCTAGCCTTGATCCTGACTGTTGAACTCGGCGCAGCCTCTTAAAACCCCGTCCTCGGATCTACTCCCCACAGTGGATCCAGTCAATTAGAGAGGTCGGACATGAAAGTTTTGACGAAAACTACAAATTGGACGTATTTCTGCCAAACGAAACTATAATATGCATTAAGACGTGAGCCCTGAGACCCATAAGAATATATCGACGGTGAAACTACCAAACCACGTATCTCGTTTGCGGTGTTTAAAATCTACGCTCGCATTTTCTTTTTTTGAAGTAGACCAAATCAATATCATTCCTTGAAATTGTCATAGAATTTTCTTCGCACGAAGAGGAAAAATCACAAAAACTTTCAAGACTGGACGTTGCGTAGCTTTTCCTTTAAAAAATAAAGTATGACAGGAAGTCTGCGACGTCGCAAACCGAGATACGGGGTTTGGTAGTTTCACCGTCGATTCGATATGCATAACAGGGTTTACGTCATAATGCACATAGGTAGTTCTGTTCGGCAGAAATACGTCCATTTTGATGTTTATTTCGTCACCTTTCAAATTTCAAAGGTTGCTTGTAGTATAAAATTTTAGGAGAAAACCAATGAAACCACTTTGAGAACCTCAACATTTTGTATATGTCGCAGGCAATTAGTCAAATCAGGCATTTTATCAAGTCCTAGGCCGGTGGCCAAATTTTAACAGTTTACGGAATTCTGTAAATTTATGGCGAGGAGTTCACGAGTTTTCAATATTTTTTGGGAAGAATAACTCTTTAAATTCGCGAAATCTCTTTGTTTCTTCCTATTTACATGCCTTTAGTGCATTTAAATGTTAAAATTTCAAAAATTCTATGTCTTTGCCGTGCTGAAAATTTTATGATGATTGTGCATTCAGGATCTCAAAATCGTTTAAGATGTTATTGTATGCTGCATATTTTTACAGGGAACTCTTGCTTACAGGGAGCAACGAATTATTTTGTCTAAATTAGGATAAAAAATCAAAATTTCAATTTCAGTAAGAATATTTGACTGTTTGCCTGAGCATTCGACAAAATACCTGATTCGACTACCTATTTGCCTTCGACACATAAACGGAGTCATAAGCTTTTAAAGTTTCCAAATTTTGTCCGACCTCTCCTATTGATTCGGTCCACTGTGTTCCCTCTTCTGGTGCAACTAATGTAGCCGGGGGTACAGCGTTATGTGTAACAGGAATAAATTCCCAACCGGTTTCGCACTGTCCATTTCCACCGACTTGGCCCAGCGAAGTGACACGACGCTTCCCGAGGTTTCCCGAACGCAGTCCTCCAGGATTTGTTTTTTTTTTTTTTACATGGTTCAGAACTAGAACGCTACCGTGCTACGGAAAAATGCCGTATGAACATTAGAGAATTGCCAAATTTCCTTCTATAAAATGTTTATTTTGGAGGAAAGCTATGAATATTTACCCTGGTAATTTTCAGGAACTTTAGGTGAAATTGCGAACAAAATTATCTGAAAAATCGGAGGAAAAATATTTACAAATTTAACCGAAAAATAGAGCTAAAAAATCGGCGAAAGCTCATTTCATCCGTGCGAAACTTATTGAATTCACAACCGCTCTTGAATTAGATTCGATCCTGTAAACGGCGACTCTCTCAGTTTTGCATGAGAATACTCAAGAAGGCTCAAAAACCACCATCTGAACCGAGCGTTTGGACTCCGCCTTTTTTGAAAGAAGGCTAAAAGACACAAAACAATTTTACAACGCAAAATAATGTTCTTCGGGCATTTTTCAAAATTACGGCTCGATTGAAGACTACAAAATGATGAACATTTTTACTCAACATCATTCTACAGGGTCACTCAGATACGATACAGAATAGCACCTTCTGCGCCTTCAACCCACCGCGTAATCTTAATGGGAAATTCTGATACCACAATTCGTGCGTCACGACAGTCATTTTGCATAGCCGGCAGATTGAAGGCAAATCATTGGCCCAGGCAGCAGGGTATGAATTTCGGCAATGTGATACGTGTTTTTTATGGAGCAAAACCTCCGGGGGTGCCCTACCTGGCATCCAAGACGTCCCACTAACAGAGGCTGCCCCCCTTAGCATCCCACAGGCTCAACCCAAAGGAGCTGCCCCCCTTGGCATTCAAGAAAACCAAGTCCCGGGGGGCTGATACGTCTATTCAATTCTAAACCTACAAGCCCGTTCCAACAAAATACCCTTTTCTTTCCGAGTTACCTCAAATTTGCCTCATTTAACACCGTTTCTAAGTAAACTGTATTATATATCCAAAGTTCTTTGTATCTTGAGGCTTCAATTCCCATTTTGAATTTCCTAACTTTTCCACCATTTTCCTTGTAAAACAAAATCTTTTTACGTACTTTTCTCTCCTTTTGTTTAGTGCTTGTTTCATTTGTGTGTTAGCTTTGATACAATGGCGGATTGTTTACATTCAATTTTATAATATAACGTTTTCCAATTCTTTCCTTTGAATCTCTTCCAAAAAGTCCCGATTTATTATTCGAAAGAGATTATAAGAAATTATTCAAAAATTGGCGCTTATGATATCGTCACCTTCCAGGCAAAGTATCACAAGCGCCATGCGACCTTTAAAAATTTCCGCCGCCATTTTATTTTTTTACAGAGAAATTGTTCAACGAAGCTGTCCGAAAATTACACCGAATTTTCTTTGTGCTGCCGATAAAATTTAGTGAAATTTTCGAACAGGTTCAACCAACAATTTCTCAGTAAAAAAATAAAGTGGCGGCGGAAATTTTTAAACGTCGCATGGCGCTTGTGATACTTTGCCTGGAAGGTGACGATATCGCGTTCTCGGGACATTTTGAGAACCCCCCGGCGCTTGTGATACGAGTTCCTTTTCCGTGCTAACGATAAAAGTATCACATCCGCCAGTTTAGAGAGAATAAAATCGAGCGAGAAAGCGATCAGACTTGCATGTTCAATAATGTTTTGTCACGTATTTTTGCGTGACGTACGCGGAAAGGGTGAAAACATGGGCACGGGACGCATAGCGGGTGGCATCAACGAAATTTGTAGGCTGTTTAATTCTAGGGACGGCGCTGAAGGACTGACTCCATACTTTCAGGGCAAAATAGTCAAAAGTTGCATTTGACCGATAGGCTGATGGTTGCAGAAGATAATTACCTCCCTCGTATTTTTTTTCTTTTTTTTGGCAATCCAAATAAATTTAGAAGAGCAGCATAGAAAATGATATGCATTTTGGTATGTGCTGCCAAAAAATTAGAGACCAGCTAATCATCTTTCAAAATCGGGGGATTTGGGGGTAGGCATCTTTGAATATTTTCAATATTTTATGGAGAAACGCACTTATTGCTAATTTTCCACCCATATTCTAGCGTATTCGTATTCTCCAAGTGTTTTTCCATTGAAATAAAGGGACTCAAGTTTTTTAAGGATCCTTGGATTCTAGTTATTGATCCATGGATGTCGGAGTACAAGGAAGCAGTTTTTATTCGTTTGAGAAAAATGAGACTGAATTCTAAATTTCATGGCACCAAGTGGTCGAAATGAATTTTGACCCTAAATTATGCAGCTTAAAAATGATGCTTTCATATTTAACTATAAAAAGTGTCACACTGCGACTAGCTTCATCAGAGCATACAAATACGACTATCTCTAAACCCTTTTTTTCTTTTCGTTTATTTTTTTTTCTTTTTCCAAATCTAAACTTGCACCTAGCTCTCCAAATATCTCGCATTTCAAAGAGAACAGATTGAAAATTGTTTTCTTCTTCTCCTTTTCTTGTTTCAATCAAATAGTTAAGACCTTTGAAAGTTAGAAGCTTGCAGTAAAACTAAAAACTTCACATACTATAGTTGTACAAAAATTAATTTATTATTAGGAGCACAAAGAAGAGCTTATGATTTAATTAACAGCCAGAAACAGTGTCACAAGGCAGATTGCATTTAATGCAGCGGAAATTACAAATATGCAGTAACACAAATATGGGTACTTGATGCAACTATTTAAGCTTGTTGGATGTCCGTTTCAGTCCGACTGAAGTGCGAAACCACGTATCTCCATTGCGGTGTTTCAAAATTTCCGCTCTTAATTCATCCCTTCCATGAGAAATAATCCGAATATATCAAGAGGTTGTGAAACGTTCGTATGATTTTTGAGATAGAGAAACTCGAAATTCCAGTGGACCGGTCGATATAGTATTAATGTTAGGCTATGCCTTGAGGATGATGCATGAACAAAGAGATTTTACTGGTGATGAGAATCTTTTTGGTTTGTTTGTTTGATTGATTGCTTGCTTGCATTCCTTATCTTTTCTTTCAATTCCTTCCCTCGTGACTGGAAAGAAGGGGAAAAGTACAAGAAACAAGAAAAAGAGAAAAATGTTATCACTTTCGAAGTCTAGTGGCAGCAAATCGTCATTAGCTCAAGATTGAAAAAATTGACCTTTTCATGATGTTACATTCAAGGTGTCCAAAAACCTCCCTTAATAATGCAAATCTCTTGAGGCTTAAGAACTGTGTATATGGATGACCAAAGTGCGAAACAACGTATCTCTGTTCCCAACGCTGCTGACTTCTTAGCATTCTTTATTTTTTCTCTGGAAAACTAATCAACCTAATTTCTTGAAAACTTCCTTATTTTTTCTTCTTTGTCGACAAAATATTCTATGTGAATTTTAAACTAATCAGTTGACTTGATTTTCTTCAAAAAATAAAATAGTATTGGGAATTTTGAAACGCCGCAATGGAGATTTGTGTGCTCGCACTTTGGCCATCGATAGGGCGATAAAACCCTTGAGGTGGTCGCTCATTCAAAAAGTTTCTCTTCAACTATGTGACAAGTACAGGAGAAAGAATAAAAATAATCAGAATTATTCTATTGGTGTTATGTAATTTAATATTTTTTACACAAGTGAATTTTACAGAAATTAACAGAAAATTCTACACAAGGCTTCAAAAGTAATTCAACCTGAAGTATTGTATAATTATTCAGTTAATTTGATTTCTCATTTTACAACAGGCACACAATCAATGAATGACAAAAAGATGGGCACACTTGATTTGCCTCAAGGTTGTTTGAAATATTGTAAAGATGGTTGAAAATTACTCATTCTGTCATTCTTGAAAGCCACGGAAATAAAAACATTATTTTCCTTTTTGGGAAAAGAAAAAACCATGGCACCAAAAATCAGTACATGCAGGGCTTACTTCTGATAAGAATGATTCAGGCTTCAATACAGTCTACATTATGTATTTGTTCGGATCATTTACAGCTTCCAGAAGGGACCTTTCTTCTCATACATGTTCTCTGAAATATTTCTATAGATAGTTAAAAAATAAATTTTTTTCAAAAATAAATTAATTTACCTCTCACATTTAACTTTGATCTTTAGATTGAGTATTTTCTTCCTCTTTTATAATTTAACAGATACCGAGAGACATTGAGATCCAATTTTTTTCATTTTCGAAACTTTAATCTGTAGTTCTAGACCGTCAATAATTTCTTCTTATTTGTCTTGACTTCAGTCTCAATCACCATGGTTTATTGAAACTCTCCTGTATTTCATGATTAATATAACAAATACTTTTCAGACCAAGCCACAGAAATACTGAATAAAGTGAGCGCACATCTTCTTCACACTCTTCTTAGGCTACAGTGACCCTAATATCTTTCATTGGTACAATAAAAAGATGGACATATTCATTGAAATTTTGAAGGTGAAAAAGGTGAATCTTTTGGCAACGCATAATTAATCATCAAAGAAGCAGTCTAAATTTGAATTCGCTAATTTCATAACTAATTGACTTGGGGATTACTTTCAACTGAAGAATACAGCTACAAAAACTAAGAGAGTAAAAAATGTATATTTGTAGGCAATTGTGGCTTTCACATTTGAGTCTGCTCCGAGCACCGAGAGCAGAAAAAATAAAGAGTGAACATTGAAGGCACAAATTAAAATGCAAACTAAAAATTACAATTTATATTCTGAAAATTATATCGAGCACGTCAGGCACCAGATTCAAATAATATAGAAGGAAAGGCTAGAGCAAGCTGTCAAACTGTGGGGATGCAGTCAATTTATATTGGTAAGCGTAAGACTCAGAAATTGTCCTCTTTTCATTGATACGTCACATAACAAAATAAATGCCCATAAAATTAAGACTAGGGAGAGCAAGTTGTTCAGAGGATGTAATTTAATTTTGTTTGTTTTCAGCAAATGTAACTCTTTTTGTCATTATTGTGAATAAAGACTTACATTTTCAGTGACTCAGGATTGTATGTTGAAATAAGTACAGAGATGGTGCAGTTAGTTTGGTATAGAATCTACATTCTCAACAACCATGAGAAAGCAGCGATACATTCAAGGGCACACAAATTGATTCCTACTAAATATAATTTTTTTATATTTGAGAGGGGGGAGGGGGAAGGATACCTAAATTGAATACATGCTCCTCTTTGATAGATATGGCAGGACACCTAGGTGTAATACATTAGGATTGATTCCAAATTATGGCACTAAAAAAGTTTTGACTATTATTACAGCGACGGGCAGTTGTATGGCTTTGAGTTTAAACTCATTTTTTCATTTTAATTTCTGTTTCTCAAAAAACCAGTAACTGCTTTGAGGCTCTTTGGTGAACCTTTTTGACAATCAATCACCCATCATAAATGCCACACGGGTAGGATGTTCTTAAGAAAAAAAGAGGAAGAATCTTAAAAGATTGGAAGGACATTCAGAATTAATTCTCAGAAAATGAATCCGTTCATGTCACAGTAGAAATCTCTGGGAAGACGACTGCATTATTCACACTAAAAGTTAAGATAAAGAAGCTTAAGTACAATGGTGGGAAAGGGGACAAAAAAGCAATTATTTGTCTAGAGTCAGTGAACGGAGGGATTTCATCCATGCTTATGTCTTACGAACGAAAATTTTGTCCAGCAAAATTTCCAGCAGGAAATGTCAGTGCCAGGTAAGATGATACCTGAGGGAAGACGAAATCAAGTCTCTTCTCAAGACTGTTCTCATAGTTCAGAGAGGGACTTTTTCGGAAGATCAAGAGGCATAAAAAAATCAATACTGATACTATTTACGAAATCTAAAATAAATACTTTGAAATTTCTAACAAAATTAAACAATACAAGTGGTACAAGTGGTCGTTAATTACATAATCCAAACTAAATCAATTAAATTAACTAGGTGTCATTGATTAAGTCACAATCAATTAGGATCCATCGAATTAATTCCAAACTGTTCAATATTCACACAAGTTAAATTAAAATTCAACATACCATTAGTAATTACAAAATACATTAATCAACTATCCAAAAATGGACTCATCTGATAAAATAAATTATTTGAAAAATAAAATTAATGACAATGGGTAAAAATTTAAAAAATAGAATTACAACAAAATATGACCACAAGGATTCAAACAAATATTACATTTAGCACCTACAAGATTTTTCTTTTGATCTAGCGAGTAAAAGATCGCAAGACGAAATGGCATACTTGGTTTTACATCACCTGTGATACAACTCTGTATGACTGATTCGTTTAAAGAAGTAGGTACTTGAATATTAGTCCTTAAATTTACAATTAAAATACCTAGAAATGGATATGTTATTTGCAGTGATAAGACAGGAAAAAGGAATTTTCCAGAGACAAGATTAGTCCAATGTGACCCGCCACTACGCTTAGTAACCAGAGTCATAACTGAAAAAGAGGAGAAACAACAATTAAATCACAGGTTTTTTAATCATTTCGTGAACATACAAACATTCCTGTAGGTTGTACGTAAAGCCTGTGCATAAAGTTCTTTTTAGAATGAATACATCCATTCATAATCGAATATAATAGAAAGAGTAATGCAATAGAAACGAGGAAAAATTGAGTCCTTTTGATTGAAATATCATGTCGACGAATAAGAGAGAAAATTTTGGTTACTTGGACTCTCCAGTCAATATTGTCAAGCAGACATTTTGGTTTTTTCGCCATCTACTTAAAATTGCTTCATAAACTACGAATGTGTTTAACTTTTAAATCTGTTATAGTGTTCATGCAAGTATTTTCATCAGTTTGAACTCCTAAAGATCCTCTCCTACAGGGTGGAGGGAGACATTAGACAGTGTCTTTTACTTAATTGATAAGTAGATGTTTGTGACCTTAGAGTGTCCTGGAGTGTCTGAATGAACTGATTCAGGGGGCTTGTACGACTGTCTAAATTTTGGTAATTAATCAGTTTTATTTGAGTTATCACATGGTTTTACTCAGTGAGGACTGAAAGACAAAAAATAAAGAAAAGCATGACAACAGAAGCTAAGGTAACTCAGAGTTATGGTAAGAGACTTTATGATACATATCGACAGTTTAAGTCCGCAACCATGTACCTTGGTTTGCAATGTTGCTAACTTCCTATCATACTTCATTTTTTAAATAGAAAACTACTTGAACATATTCTTAAAAACTGCCTTGATTTTTCTTCTAAGGGCGAAGAGAATTTTGCAGAAACTTCAAGAAATGATGTCAATTTGTTTTTGTTTAAAAAAGAGAATAGGAGCGGGGATTTTCAAACACGCAAACAAGATACAGGGTTACGAACTTACACAAGCGATATATCAGTTGCTGCATACACATAACGAGTGGTTTTGTAAAATTTTCTTCCAATAATTCATACAAAAAATAAAGGATCAAAAATCATAGAAGTTCATTACTAACCAATCAGAGTTCAGCTCAGGGCTGTCACCCGTTTTCTTATATTTTGCTTGTTTAATAGCTGTCAATCGCCCTCTGGCTTCATCCAGTTCCTTTTCAATTCGCAGGACTTCAGACCTGAAACATGAGAACAATAGATATTTAAGATGAACAGATAACATAGATGCAAGCTGAAAATCACACAGATGTACTTTACTTCAAACAATGATTCAGGGTGTCTAGCAAATTTTCCTTTTCATTCTCCCTGACTTTCAAGGTTTTCCCTGACCTATTGAATTTTCTTTCTCCCTGACTTTCCATGACCTTTTACCAAGATTTGCTTTCAGTCTGTATGATGTTTTTCACCCTTCAAATCAATGGATTACAATTCAAGAATAAAAACCTTTCTGCGGTCTTTGGGTGTCAACGGAGACTCTCCTAAAAAAGATTTTTTTCTTTCTTCCACTATTACATCATAATTTGTACTAAATAGTAATGCTTTGGCACATCTTTGCTTGTTACTTCAAGAAACTTTATAGAAATTTGCAACTTCGAGAATTAAATAAATAGAGGAGGAAATAGTACGAAGTTAAGGAGCACGGCGCAACTTCGGGGTGCATGACAACGAAGTTCCTAACGGTTGCCTTGGCCCCTTGAGGGCGCCTAGCCGGCCAACCTGGCCTTTACTTACTTACTTACTTACTTAAATAAATAGAAGAAAAATCATTGGGACAGAAAGTGAAACTTTCGCGAACTTATGCAAAAAATCGCGATCTTCGACGGGAGTTCGCTTCTCTCCCAGTTTTGCGTTTTTCTTCCTTGACTTTCCCTAACTTCTCCCTGACCAATTTCATCTCCCTGACTTTCCCGGTTTTCCTGGTCGCTAGGCACCCTGCAATGGAAATTTTGAATTTTCTGGACCATTTTACTGATTAATTTGATGACAAATGGGCAAGTCCATCAGTGTCTCAAAAGTTCCTCGGTTGAAAATAAAATTAGAAAATATTTAATGCTGCTTTAGTCCGCTGTGACAGATGGGGGAAAAAATGCATCACTTCTAGAGACTTGAAAACACCAGACATAAAGTTTTTGACAAAGTCGACTACTTCTGAAGTGTAGTATTTGTAAAAACATATCTCAGCAATTTTGGATACCTCAACAACTAAGCGTTGCGAATATCTCAGGCTATACAAATTCTTCTGCGCAGAAAATTCAGTATTTCTTCGGAAGTTCATATTCATTTAAACACACAAACCTTGCATTAATTTCTTGCGCTATTCCTCCCACCATTTTTTGATTCAAGACCAAACTGTGCTCTTCATCATGCTGTATTGCTTGCTGCGCCGCTTTGACAAGGTTATCTGTCGCTCGCTTTACAGCGTTACCTGCAGCCTGAAAAATTAAAATTCATCAATCAGATTACATCCATTCATAAAGGAACTCACTAGACGGAAATTGAGCTAAAAATGTCTGCGTCATAAAAATTGGAGGCTCCACATACATATTTTGAAAAATAGTTCTGTCATCTGAAAAAATTGTTAGTATTTGTGGCACTATCGTTGTAGAGGTAAAGTCAGCAATGGTCAAGTAAGGTTGATTGGTTTTAATACAGAAAAGAATAAGCAATGACATTAGACATTTGACCCACAAGTATTTGATCAAAAGAATATAAGATATAACTTCGTTTCCAATAGGGTCATTGCTTTGTTAAGCGTTAAACTTTCACAAAAATCTACATTGACATTTTGACAAATCCAAAATTTCAACTAGTACATATTGGTTCCTTTGACTATGAAATTCCTTCTTAGTCTGTGTGTGTCTTACATTATTCTTCTTTCAAATTCTGGTATATAATCATACTTTTCTGTACCGTGAAGGATAAAATAGAAAGTTAGAATTTATATCAGATAAGTTAGCAGTTGTTTACTTTCCGTTTGCAAGTGACTGCTGCTATCCAATAAGAATCAAGGATTGACCAAGTGCGACGACAAAGACAACGCTGTGTTGCCGTTGTTGTGTGTAAAGTACTGAAAACCAGTACCTTCCTCCAAGGAGATATTGCTAAATTTGCCTACTACGAGTGACAATCAGGAGGAAACAACTGCCGACTTTGCTGACGCAAGTTCTATTTATATCTTCTAGAAAAAAAAATTCAATCAACTAGCCTGAGGTATGTAATTAAGTGGTGCTTTAAGCAAACTGTACCTGTAATCGTTTGGTAGAGTCACTGTCTGGATCTGCCTTAACTTTGCATGCGACGAGTAACTGTGCAGTATAGTATGCTACTTGTTTTGCTGCCGAAATAAGTTTCTCTTCTGAGCTGAGACCTTGTACAAGGGCATTCGCAGCTTCAACAAGACTATGAGTGGCCGCAGCGACGAGTTGAGCTGCAGATACTAAACCTTCTGACCATTGTCCATCATCGGAGCTGCTCAAAGGTCTTCGACTTACCTGCAAAAAAAAAAAAAAATTAGAATGACTAAAGGTAGAAATGGCTAATAGAAATGATTGGAATTTAGGAGAACATTCAGCGGAAAGTAATTGGGTCATATCAAGTGAAAATGAAAGAAATACATATAAAAAGTTTAATTCTTCTAAGAAACTACTTGTAAAAAGTAGAATTAAATGAAGTCTATGTTCGAATGGAAAAAAACTCTTCATGGGTTTTGATTTTTCAATAGGACAGGTATTAAAATTAAGACTTACCCTTCCGTTTTCATATAGTTCTCGTTGAGCAGCAGATGCGCTCTTCAGTAGCGCAGATGTAGCTGCTGCAATGGATTTTGCAGCTTCCAGGATCATTTCATCAAAGTTTAAGGATTCGTCAGTTTCCTAGAAGTAAAAAAAAAAAAAAAAATTAGAGATGATAAAGAAAATGGAAAACTTTAACTGCACACTTTGTTAACACTTGTAGGTTAAAATAACAAATAAAATAGAATAATATATCATGAGACAAATCATTTTCACTAGATAAATCTATTAATCTCTCAAAGTTCTCTGATAATCGACACCAAGTCAAAATAGATTGTGCACAATTGAATGTAGAAAAATTTGTATAATTAGTGTGGAATGATGGGACTAGTAGTATAAGACACGCTATCTACACTCATTAATGCTAATAACCATTTCAAGTTGTCTGGTAATAAAAACAAGGCGCAAAGGTATCGGAATACATCGCATTCATTTCGATGTTTAAAAGTTAAAAAGGTAGTCTACTATTCAGTACTGCAGCTTGATTGTTGAAATTTGTGTCAGTGAGCGAGACATCAAAAAATAATTTATTACACTGCAAACAGGGCTATGTTTTGTCTTATCTTGCAAACAACGCCAGATAAAGTTTCAACTATCAGGCTGCTGGATGAGTCACAGAAATGATAAGCATGCTGATATAATCTGATAAATAAGAACTAAACAATAGTTCAGACAATGAAATAAACTGATTTTCAGGGGGTGTTTTTCTCCTTTTTGTTTTGTCCTGCTGAATTTCGCATAAACTGAATGATTGATGAAGGGAACTGACTCCAGAAGTTGAATTGAGAAATGACAAAACTTATAAATAATTAAAGTTAAAATACACACACATATTTTTGAAAATATTTTAGGCATCATGTATACACAAAAATATGTAGATAAATATTATTTTTTTCTGTTACTTTTGAGAAATTTGCAGGGAAGAGAAAGGCAACAAACAAACATTACAGCTAGACATGAAAAATTCAAAATCAAATTACTACAAATGCTTACACAATATGGCATACATTTCTTTTCAATATATTTTAATATATTCTAATACAGAATTCAAATTATATTTGTATTTTTCTGAGACACAGTAAAGAAGAGAGAGAGAGGATAATGTAAATGCATCCACAAGAGTGATGAATACAGGTAAGAAACAACATTTGAGTGTTGATTTATAAGATGCACTTCTATACAAAGATACTTTTTCAGAGCAAGACAAGGAGGTATAATTTTTACACAATGAAAAGAATCAACTGAAGATTTGAGAATGATTGATTTAAATAAAAAATTAAAAGAGTAAAATCTTACTGAGGATGAGTGTGATGCCATAGCTGAGATCAAGAAGCACTGTCACAACAAAAAGAGTACCTCTTTTTTTCTCTCTCATTTATCACAAGTTTCTATTAAAAGACAGGCAAATCAATACAGGAAGTGAGTCCATTGTTAGCTCGGGGAACTCTCTTCAAAACTATAGACAGCTTTTAATCAAAGACTGTCAGTCACTGGTGAGGAACTGAGTACCTATCCTCATCTGCTCACTTCACAGCACCAAGGTCACACTTTTTAACTTGCAGAGGAATGAACTCTGACCTGACACATTAGTCTCTCTGCTTCGTTGTCCTGACCCAATTAAGGCTCCCTCATAAATTCATGAGTTTTGACAGATGCTTGGCAAACTAATTACCCTATCTTCAAGTCAAAAGAGGGCAAAAAAGGTCAAAAACATATTTTAACTAAAATATATACCTACTGCAAAAAATCAATAATAAAATGAACAACTGATTGCTTCTAGAAGCTACAATTATGATATAATCTACTGTCTTGAATAATTAGACTGTCAGAAATTGTGATGAAAATGAATGCTTTTGGGAGTACATTTCAACAAAAAATATGTGTCTGAACTTAAAAGGCTCAGGCTCCAAATCTACGCTTATACGACCTATTATCTTGCTTGATGGGACTCTAAATGGGTATTGTCTCGGAGGTTGATGTTTCTTGGGTACATTTCAGCGAAAAACGTTTAATTCAGGTTAAGAAGTTTGAAACAGCCTTAATGACTGGAAAAAAGAGGTTCAAAAATAAAGTTAAATGAAAAGAACGTTCCTCATTAGCCTGAAGCTTAGAATTTCAAATGAAGGGACAAATCATGATTTCAAACACCCAGAATCTAACATATAAAGGTTGCTGCAGCATGATCTGCCCATTTAAAAATTAATTCTATGTCTTGAAAACAGCAACAGTATTCAGTTTTCACTTTGAACAGCGATTAGTGGAGTTGGAATGTGTTGAAACAGCCAGAAGTCAGTAATGATTTCCCTGATAATATGTTTGACATTTGGTTGAATTCAAATTAAACAACCAAGAATATCAAACATATCTCAAGGCTATCACTAGATATGCAGTTGATAAGCATCCAGATTCGATGATGATCCGTTCATTTTTTCTCACTGAGAAGAGCATCTTGGCGGTGAGTGGTAAACTTACATACTTCATTTACAATGAAAAATGATAGATTCTAAACCAGCTAAATCTTACAACAAAAGTCGATAAGATAATATTCTCCAAAGAAAAAAATACTAATCTTTATTATTAAAGGTAAAAAAGAAATTTAACTTACTCTGTGGGCAGATTTCCGCGGCCTTAGACTGGCAAGTTTACGTGCAGCAGCATCGATGGAAGCTGCGGCTCCAAACAGCTCATTTTCAGCGATTACAGTTGGATCTTCTGGATTTACCCAGTCGCTTCCTACAAAATTAAAGAAAAACTAACTAACACAGAACTGTCAAAAAGTTGGCCATTCTCAAAAATTTTCTCAATCATATGAGGAAATTATGAAATTGATTAACTTTGCTACGATCTGAAAACCGAAAAAAACCTTATTTTATCCAATTTTAGTAGATAGTATGTTTTGCACAATAAAAAATCATTTTGATAAAAACACACGTTCCAAATTAATTTTGTCATGGTTAAAGTATTGAAAAATATATCTCATTGGTAGTTTTCAATATTTCAAATTAGAATTTGTTTTGAAGAGAATATTGCCAAAAATTTTAATAAGAAAAGTTTTCTGCTATGGGAATATTTTTATTAAGACAAAAAAGTCAGTCATCATTTTAAGTGATTTTGTGCAATGTTGCAATTGGCAATACAGAGAATTTGTTTTACAGAACATTCATGCAGCATTACATCAGAAAACCCATCAAGTACTAAAAAAATGCCTTTAAAATGCTACCAGGCATCTGCAAAAAAATTCTTTATTACTGAACAAAAGAAAGATTGAACAAGTTGACTATAATACAAAGATGGATCTGAACAAACCTTTAAGAGTTTCTGACAGTGTGACAAGATCGGTGACACCTTGAGCAATACGCCTGGAGATCGGTGGTAAGGTTTGTTTAGCGGTAGTTGTAGAATTGCCTGGCCTTGATAAGCTGTGCAGAAGCATTTGAAGAAGTTCACGGTATTGTAACGCAACATTCTGACCCGTTTCCAAGCATTGCCGTTTTAAATCTGCTGTTTCGGCTGCATTGGCGCATCCCTTGCAAATGGTGAGCATGTCCGAGATAGCCTTCCTTCCCATATTGGCAGCAACGATCACATCCTCTTGTTTCCCACTATTGCCAGCAGCAACTGCTTTTGCTGTGGCCATTGTTACAGGTTTCGTGGAGCGGAGAAGGTCTTCAGGAGAGGCGACAGACTTGTGTAAATCAACTGAGTTCAGAGCCTGAAAATTGTTGGTAAAAAATAGTTAGATTTTAATACTTACTATTTTTCAATATCACTTTTGGAATTCAGGGATTGTTTTGAGACTTTCTTTTGCAGACAATTTAATAATTAGAAAAAATAATGAAGTCAAACACATCCGAAACGCTGAAAAGATTTTAATGAGGGTGCCAATGCACAAGGTTTGAATTACAACTAGTTTAATGTTTCCTGTTGAAGGAGCTAAGCTAACAGTTTGATAATAAATCTCAGGCTAACTGAAGGTTTTAATAACATACTGAAAGGGAAAGAATAGAGGACATAACCTTTTATTCATTCTTTTTGATAACTATGTGATATTTCACAAAGCAGAAGACTTGTTGTAGGAAAATTTTGATGGATTAAATTTGTTTCTGACTTATGCTTTGATAAGAGTCAGTCAGACTTGAGTAAAGTTAAACAACATTACTCGTGCCGAGATCAACAACTTTGAATTTCTCTGTAATGATTGTCAAATAAATCAATGGTAAATTTTTAAAGTTTTCACCACAATTATGTGGTGACTTAAAATTAATCTTCATCACTTTTTATAAGGTAAGGAGAATGAATTTACCCTAATTTCTTGTGCAATAGCTTCAATTGTTGATTCCAATGCTCGAGTGCCTCTGGCGTGTTCGTCTTCAACAGCTTTTACAGTTTTCAGTAATGACGTAACATTCACGACCATGACCTTCGCTGATTCTTTGAGCGCTTTCATGCATGGGTCTTCGATATTCTTACCCGAGGCAGCTTTCGTTGCATGAATTAAATCTCCAAGAGCCGAAGCAACATCTTTCACTGAATTTATCAGCATTACCTGAAATTGAACAATTATGATTAATTTCTCAGGAGAGTTTAGTGTTGAATATTAAAAGAACATCCAACTTGAAAGAATAGAGACTGAATTATAGAATCAAATTTATTTATGCAATACATTTTAGAGGGAAATATTGAATCATTTTTACTTAAAAAGACGAATAATGCCTCCGAGAAAAGCATTTTTGCTTACTTTTTCTCTAACTTTGTAGCTATTTAAAAATTGATTGATACATACAAAAAGCCGCTTTTATAGCGCAGCCTCGCGCTCTGCGATGCCCAATCGCCATTGCCCCCTATCCTCCCAGAGATCATCAGGCAATTGGCACCTTCTGATCTCCTCCTCCATCCCTTGTCGCCAACCTTTCACAGAACGTCCACGCCGTCGCCTTCCGGGAAGAACCCAATCAAAAACCTGCTTGGGCAACTGAACGTTTGCCATCCTTCACACATGTCCATACCAGACCAACTGCTTGGACCTGATATCGTGCACGATGTCCTTCTCTACACCCATTACCTCTCGCACTTTTTCATAGTGGATACGCTCTCTTCTCGATATCCCAGCAGACCTCCGCCAAAAGTCCATCTCAGTTGCCCTAAGCATGTCTTCAGTTCTTTTCTTGAGTTGCCAGACCTCACTCCCGCAAGTTACGATACTCTCCACGATGACGTAAATTTAAAGACAGACCATTAAAGATCGGAATGTGCAAGGTAGGAAAGCTACTGCGATGCTAAATGGGGTTCTCTGGGACCAGGGTATCTCCAAGGAGACCAAAAGAAATTGATTGATAATTTTCAATTTTCAGTGATGATGGTTACATTCATTAATTTTAAAAAAATTAAATTAGAACAATTGTTTGAACTTTTTTTAGAGCTAAGTATCTTTTAGAGAGGAATTTACCTGTGCTTCAGGGTTGTTGGAGCCAAGAGATGCAGCTCCAAACTTCACTACTTCAGCTAATTGAACTATCGTTGATACAGCATTTTGCGCTGCTACTGCTAACTGTTCTTGTGAAGACGCAGCCCCAGCTACAAGCGTCTTGGTGTCTTCAACTAAAGCTCTAGCTGTCTTCAAAATCAACTCTCTGTGATCGGCAAAAGTATCAGAATCGTTTTCAGCGTGCAAGGTACCAGCTGTAGCAAACATGATGGTAGCATCTAGGTCACCGATTATACCAGAGACTGTATTAGCGGCATTTATACATGCTTGAGTTCCTCTGGATCCAGCTTGGAGGGCTCTCAGAACTTGGGCAACCTAAAAAAAAATGTGCAGAAGCAAATATTAGGAAAATATATTCATGGATAATATGATGATGAACCCTTTAAGAGAAAGTGTAATTTTTCCTAAAAATATAATAGTGCAATTCTTTAGGTTTAATTTCTTAAATAATTTTGTCCTCTTCTTTAACTAATTAAATCATTTTTTGAAAAATTGCATCATTTATTTCTTCCTTTGACTAATAAGCCATGTTTGTTCAGCTATTACCGCATCGCAGGCACTTAAAAAAGGAATAGAACTGATAAAAGTTGGAAAAATGATACAAATTAATAAAAATTCATTTAAAATTCAGTTTAAATACCGATTCTGTTCTTCAAATTTCTGTGATTTGGTTTGAAATGTTCAGAATTTTTTTCAGGTCAAGGGTATTGATTCTAAAATTTTGAACCTACTTTTTACGCTTTTGGATGTGTACACAGAAAAAATTTAGACCAAAATTTCATGATGACAAATAAATACATAACAAAAATAAAAATTACATACCTTGTCAGTGACATTTTTGGCAGCTGTTGTAAGCTCTCTCCTGGCAAAACTGTCATTAGACGCAGCCGAAGAGGCTTTCAGCGTAGCGATACATGAGGTACCCAGATCATGAACTGCGGAGGATAGCCTGGGCATGACATCAGGATTGGTCGTACATGCAACAATTCCTACACAATCATTTGTGAGTTCTGAATATCGCTGAGTCAACTGCTGAGATAAGTGGGAATCGTAACCGGGACGCGTGGCAATTTCTTGAGATAACCGGGCGATGTCTTTTGCAGAGGCGACCATTCGTGTGTGGTAGTTTACATAGGAGTCTGTTGAGTCTAATATGTAAGAGTTGGGTTGGTGAGAGTCGGGAATACGCCGCATCGATTGTGTTATTGAGTCTATCATGTCCCTTACCACACCTGCGTTCTGCTCCAATGCTGCCGTTAGATCACTCAAAGCTTCTTTCGTGCTGGTGACGCATTCATCAACTTCTTCATGCTTATTTACCACCTGCAACAGAGTTTTTACCTTATTATTTCCAAAATTATTGTTCTAATTTTTGTTTTTGAAAGGAATGATTTATTTCAGATTCTAATTTTTTAACAGAGCAAAGAAAAATTAAAACCGTTCAAACCTAAGTTTATCAGAATTTCAGATTTTCACCCTTAAATCCTCAAAGCTGACATAACTTCTTCTTAATGTGCAAAAAGTTAGAAAGTTTAAAACTTTAAAAAGTTATTGAGTGGTTTGAGTAATGAGGGTGGGCTGTTATATATTGAAAAAAGTTGGCCGACTAAAATTTCATCCAACAGTGAAATATTCTCCATTTTTGATGAATTTTTTTAAAAATAATCCATGTTTTTTAGATACTTCCTTCTGGGCTTCTTTCGCAGAAAATTAGAGGATCTCATGCAAAGACAACAGCATTAAAGTCTTGATAGCATTTGAGAACCTAATATATTTTTTTGTGATTTCACTTTTTGAAAAATATACTTGATCAACATTTGATGAATTTGTTGGTCAAATTCAAGTTTCAGTATTTTAAAATTTAATAATTTATCTTAATTCTGCTGATTTGACCGAATATAGATACTACCGTTAATGGCGAGAGATGAAGAGAAAAAATACAAAAACATGCAACTGTAACCAATTATTACAATTTGGATAGGACTTACCTTAGGATTGCCTCCGGCATCCTTAGCGGAGTACAATAACTGAATGACACACTCAACAACAGTTTTTGTCTGATCGAGGAGAGAAACTTGCTGTTTCGAATGAACCAGGTGAGAAGCTACTCCTATGGCTCCGTTTGTCAATGGTTTCAAATGAATCAATATTTGTTCAACCTGCAATTAATCAATAATGTATATTAAGAAGACTTGCATTAAAATCATCTAAATGAAATGATGGTAGAATGTTGAAGAAAGGATCCTAAGAGTAAGTACACATTTCGTCGTTCCTCTGACATAAGGGCATACCTCGATTTTTGAATGAGCCCCAGAAACCATGGATTTTTACGCAAAACAGGGCTCATGCGAATATCAAGATATGCCCTTACATCAGAGAGGCGTCAATTTGTGGTGATGGAGACAAAATATTTAAAATTTAGCAATTTGTAATTCTGGACATACAACAGGCCTCTATATAAGATATGTATTACCTACATATGGCGCTAAGCAATAAGCTTCCTCTCCGAAATTTCACGAAAGAAACAAGAAAAAGTTCATAAAGGAGAGTCGCTAGAAAACTTCAGTATATCTGCCTTCCATCTCTGATTCTTGAGAAATAACTCGCAAGCTTTATTCTTTTTTGAACGAGCGATCATTTCTTTGCTGTAAATATTTTTATTTATTTTACTTACGAGCAAAAAAGTGAAAGGTGTTTACCTCATGGCCTAACTTTTCAGCTTGAGATTTGGCAGCAGAGCGTAGTGGTTCTAAGTGAGCAACAATTTGGGTGATAGCGTATTCGGTTTCTTCGGCAGAATTCTCTAGAGAACTTCCAGGTGGTGGTGCCAGATGATGGGACACTGAAGACAAAGTGGCTTGATCTAGTTCTCGGATTAGTTCGTTGCATCTTTCGATTCCATCTTCACATTCCCTTTGACCAGGTGCTTTATCCCTAATAATCAAAGATAGCAATTAGCATGAAAAATTCACCTTCTGCAGCATTTGCGGATAAATTTGGCATTAAAGACCTTCAGTTTATACTGAACAAGAGACAGACATTTGCAAGCGAGCTGAGAAAGACTTTTTGGTAGATAACAAAAGAGACAATATTCCAATTTTTTAATATTTGAAAATTTAAATGTGCCGTTGAAAGTAACATGAAGTTGGTTTTATGGTTTCCAATACATTCTAATAAAAATTAACATTGGCGGTCGTCCTGACTTATTTTGGGCCAAAGTCCTTGTGCTCTGCTGTTTCATCATGAATTATAATTTAAGTGTTCACTGCCATAAAAGTTACCAGAAGTCTTTATTTTATTGCCATCAGCCAATCACTTAATTCAAATTTTACTGTAACCAAAAAGAAGCTTGTTTGACACTTTAGGTGTTGTTTATAAATGATAGCCACTTCATAAACACCGTTATGCGATGCATGAAATGAGACGGTATCTAGCTCTTTACAATGATGTAGGACTACCTACTTGTTCCTAAAATTGCTGGAATATTGCTAAAATCGTTATTTATGTTGCAGACTTTATCTGCAACCTCCCTCTCATGGCGACAAATATTATAAAAAATATTTTTGAAAAGAACAAGTTAGAAACAAGAGAGAAAACATTTCTTTTGAGAAAGTGACTAATTGCAGGTAGGATCAAGTGTGTATTAAATGACGGAGATATCGTTAGGTAAGTGAAAAACTAGTAGAGAACTACTGTGGAATATTGCATGCATTGTATTGTTAATTGTCATGATGCTAGAAGAATATTCTTCCTTAGTAAATGTTTCATGACTTTTACTGTTACATGCGTCTGATGCACAGCTAGTTAAAATTAATGTATAAGGAAAAAGAAAAAACCTAAATTGAGCTAGCAAGACACATATCGATTGTTTAACTACAAAAAAACAGATCTCAAGTGAGGTCCTCCAAAATTTTTACTCCTTTTTATTTTTCTAAAAAATTATTACTGTAGTCTACAACACAAAACGTGACGGCTGAAGGACAAAGTCGGGTGAGCGGCTCGATTAATAGTATAAGAGCTCATTGGCTTCTGCGGACCCGGGTCTGTTGCATGTGCCAATATGTCTGCGTTCAACCATTTAACAGTACCTCAAACCACTCTGCCCCCCTGCCGCCACTTTTCGTGCTGAGGACCCTTTTCATAACAGTTTTAGAAAATAATCTTGAAGAAGTAAAGGATAATTACACAGTAAACAGAAATTCTACAACTTTACAGACCGAGTTACATTTTTTGGTAGTTTCACCATCGATATACATATTGCATTCTAGTAAGAGAAAATAACAAACCTGATATAAGCGACTAATTTCTTAACAGAATCAGAAACGTTTTTGCTGTGGTTGGCGAGGAACTGCCACGTTGGTGGGTCTTTTGGTGTGATAACTAGAGATTTTGCAGCTAAAATCATTGCAGAGGTGGCATCAATGATTGTCTCACCAGCGGAGAGAATAGGTTCTTGGGCACTGAAGGCAGCTTCACTGATGTGAGCAGGGCGACTTGCAAATTCTGGAGAGCTTGCAAAAGATACGAGTGAGTTGACAGCATCCAGTAGTGGTCTCGTTGCTGCAGCGCAGGATTCTCTATTCCTGTCACTGTAGTCAACATCTAAGGCTTTGATATCTTTGACAAGATTGGCAGTAGAATTAGCGACATCTTTTGCTGATTGAACTAATTGGCGTTTAGCAGCCGGATTTGTTGTTTTTGAAGAAGCCACGCGGCAAGCATTACATAAGGAACTGGTGTGTTTAGCGATCACAGTAGCGGCAGACAGTACTTCTTGCTGTGAAGTGTGCCTGTTGGAAAGCGTTTGACAAGCTTGGGATATAGCCTGAGAGGCACGACTAAGCTGTGCTTGGTCAATCAAGCCCCGTTCGCCAGCCACACTTCCTGGTGTGCTGATGGCCACCAAATACGCACTTTGCACGGCAGCTTCAGTCAATCCACAAACAGCATCACTTACAGCTCGCACTGCAGTGCCAAACTCATCATGTTCCGATCGTTTTGCATGCTTTAATATTCCTGACATGCCGTCACCTAAACTCATTGACTTATCCATGATCGTATCGAGGCATTCGAAGTAGGACGAATCGTTGATTGGTTCAACTGGGTTGTTGAGTAACGGTTTCATGGCTTGAATGTTTCGTACAGCGTTGTTGCACTCTTTCTGGCCTGGTGCTGCAGAAGTGCAAACATCGATTAGATTGTTGATGCTTTCAGTGACAGCTCTGGCTGCATTGGTAAGTTGCATTTTGGCATCAAACGCATCTGGGTCTTCTGAGACAGTCTTGGCAGTCGAGAGCAACTGGGAAGAGGATGCTGATACTGTTTTGAGTGAAGACAGCATTTGCTCCCTAACCTCTTTCTCGGGTGTTGACCCGACTATTTCCATTCCAACTTCAACAAGGTTACTAAACGCACTACCCATTTGCTTTGAGGCAGAGGCCAACTGTTTTGGCGAGTTGACTGATGAGATGACTTCATTGGTCGCTGTGCTCATACTGATGGCAGTGCTATGGAGTTCTTGCTGGAGTTGAGTGTACGTTTTGTCTGTTTTGGGAAGATTGTTTGAATACAGAACTTCGGAAACTTGGCCAATCCACATGATTGAGTCATCAATTTCTTTCGGCGGTGGAGATGAACCATTCATGTGCTCCGTCATTGTTTCCGTTATAGAGATTTTGGTTTGAGAGCGCAGAGACGGAACCGCTGCAACTCTGAGTTCTTCGACTGCTTGTTTAAGGTTAGACTGTGCTGCTACATCTGAGGGTGCTGAGGCACAGGCTCTTGCGGCTTCAACCATGCGCGCAGTTGCCTCGGCGAGAACTTTGGCAGCTGCAAGCAAACGGGTTCGCTTATCGCTGTTAATGTCATACTCATTCTCAGCTTCTCCCTTTATTGATTCGATGAGATGAGCTGTAGCTTGACCAAGCAATTTGGCTTGCCTCAACATTTCATTGGGATCGGTGCTCTGGATTAATCTTTCGCTGGTGATCATGATTGTTTCTTCTACAGTTTCTTCGCTGACAGGCCTACAGAGAAAGAAATGAAAAACATTTGTCAAATTTAAAACCGCAATTAGAGGGAAGAGATAATTCAATTTGTGAGGGCAACTGCCGAATTTAATCCATATTAAAAAAACCACTGGCTAAGAAAAAAAATGACAGTGCCGAGAACTTTTGGATTGGTCCTGCTGTTATATAGGATTTTCAACAATTAGAACAAATTTACTAATACCTGGATTTGACAAATTTTATAGGCTAAGATCATTCTGCAGAATTGAGGGCGGACGAATTTCTAGACACAATGTAAAGTTTTTTTGACTTATAAAAATTTCCTGACTTAGGTGAGACTATAAGAAAGGTTTCCTACATTATTATGTGTAATTCATTTCACAACATGTGGAATACTAATATGTTCTGTAAAATGACTTCACAGGTCTGTTTAAATGGAAGATATTCATACAGAATCAGAAAAAAGTCAAACAATTGATAGATATTAAATTATGCTCAGACACAATAGTACAAATCTAAAGAAAAAAGTTAGATGCAAACTTAAAAAAATTTCATCACTAATTCGGAAAACTTGAGTTTTTTTTTCTTCTGATTAAATGCTTACGATCAAATTTACAGACAATAATACATACAACATAAATAATACAATGAAATTTAAAACTGATTAAAAATTAATTTATGCCAAAAAATGGTCTGTGAATGCTATGCTCTGTGATGAATCCTGTTGTCCGTAAAATAGCATGTTTCCCTGGACTCACATGGAAATGAATACACACCCTTACGTCTAAGAAATGACAAGGTATGTGTACATTAACAACTATTTTAAGTCATAAGAGACGCCGACTGACTGCGGAACAAAAGATGAGGAACATTCCTCGGTTTGATGAATTAGAATTGAAAAAAGAAAACATACTTCATAAGAGTATGGTTTTTGTCATTGAGTTTCTCATTTTACCTTAGTCTAAGGTATTTAGTAAATATGACGTGCAAGATTACCGCATTACTGATATTTAGGATTTGTGTGATTTAGTTTTTGTGATTTTAAGGATTTGTGCTTGTATGTACAGTTTGTGAGCAACGTCTTCCAATTAGCGAGCATTAAAGGTGGTTCTTTCATCAGAAATTTATATCTAAATATAATTAAGGTGCTTTGTTATGATATTTGAACAAATTATTTATTCATAGGCATTGCAATCTTTAATACAGCAGCGTCTCAAGGACTAAGTATGTTGTATTGCAGTGTTACGGTGAGAGCTAGCTACATGAACATTATGGTTACAGTAAGAAAAAGTTTTGAGTTTTTTAAGTTTGCATCTCATTTTATCATGCACACCTTCGAGAGTGAAAAGAAAATAAATTGTGGCATACTTGATATGATTGAGAAGTTGTTCCAACGTGTAAGTGACTTGTGATGCGGCTGTTTTAAGGTCTTCCATGAGGTGAGGTTCATTACAGGATTCGTTGCAAATCAAAACCAAAGTTTCCACTGCTCTGGTTACTTCTTTCACAGCGCTGGTTAGTTGTTCTTGGCAAGCTGAATTCTCTAGGGTTGGCACGACCACCTTAAACAAATTAAGTTGAGTATGGTCATTTAAAATATGCATAAATGGATGGTTCATGCGAACTTGAAAAATAAAAATTCAAGGATTTACAAGATTTCCATCTGGAATTTGTCCAATGCATATATGTGAAGTGAGCCTTTTTTTGACAAATAAAAAATTTTTGGAGAGGTTTTAGGTAAAAAGCACTTTCACAAACTTATTTGGATGCTTTAAAAGAATCTTCTTGCTTGTGCCCCAACAGCAAAGCAAGTATAGCACTTTTTAACAGCATTACGGTTTCAATCATGTTTCGCATCCGAGTGGATCTTGGAAAACTCTTCAAACAGACTTACAAATGTTGATTTGTATGTGTATTGCTCAAGAGAGTTTTGTCTTTCCAGATACAGTAAGACCTCGAATTATCGGATCGCAATTTAACGGATTCCGCGATTTAACGGATTCGGCCTCCAGTCCTGTGAAATCCAATAAATCGGGGTCTTACTGTAGAAACTTCAGTTAAATTCTAGAATATTTTGTCAATCAATCGGAATTCAAGTAATTTTAAGTATAAAAAAGTTGAGATACAAAAATTGATTACATTAAAGTATTTTCGAAAATGGTTAAACACATTGATGGCTAAAATGATACTTTCCATTTAAAAAAGTGCTGACTAAAGTAATGTGTTCCAGCGGATTTAATAAGATTCAACCAGATTACTGAATAAATGCATCATATATTGTTTTGATAATTTAAGCTACCAAAAACAGGAACCATTGCGATTTCTGGACGGTAAGTGTTTGTGTGAAAGGAATAAGCTCTGAGATTCTTGCCGAATAGGTCCTGTCAAAGTCTATGCCAGAGCTATGAACTCAGGCTATTTAAGAGTTCCGAAAAAATTGACAGACCTGGTGAGGAAAATTACCTTTGTGCACGCGACAAGCTGCGAGGTAGCCAAGGCACACTGGGCTGCTGCAGCGATTACAGACGATTGATGATCGTTTGGCAGTGTTGCAGCAACAGACTTGGCCTTCAAGACAAGAGCAGCTGTTGTATTGGCAACAGCCTTAGCAAGACCCAGGAGGGTATCTTGTTGTTCGCGCGAGACACTTGACTCGTCCCCGACTACCGTGAGAACTTGCTGAGAAGCTTCACCAACACGACTTGCAGCAGATAGCAGTTGTGCTTGGCGTGGCTGAAACATAAACCAAAATTTAAAATTAATCACACTTTTTTCTTTCTTTTTTTTTATAAAAAGCTAGTTGAATACTCTAGTTAGAAAAAATTTGCTGATTGAGGGATATTGTAAAATATACAATTTTAAATTGAAGTGAAAGGTTTTGATATGAAATCACTCGCTAAAGTTTTCTAATAATTTGTTAGATTAAGGACGAAAAGCTTGGTAATTGGACGTATTACTATCAAACGGACCTAAGCGCCATAGGGTGAGGAAGGTAGAGGGAGGCTTGAATTGGCGGCAGAATCGGGCATCCGGCTTATTCCGTTCTATGCTCGCAATGCTTTTCCATGGCGCTTAGGTCTGTTTGACAGAACGCGCTATCCAGGATTCTAAATTCCTCAAAAGGAACTCAAATTGGCGCTTAGTTCCGTTTGATAGAAATACGTCCAATTCAAGGTGCTCAAAACTAACAGAAGAGAATGCTGCCAAGAGAATAATACATTTTAAATGACAATAAAAATGAAGCTGACAAACATACAAAAAGCGGTTGGAGATCACCTCTGCAACATTTATCATTTTAACCAGCATCCCCTGTATTGGATTAAGTTCATCTAAAGTTGTTTAAGTTGTGCAAATGTAGCAGGAACAGGGTACAGAGAGGGAATAAATTATTACATTCTCGCACTACGGCTTGTTTGGAGTAAAATATGCTTAAGAAATAGCTGAAAAGAAGAAGTAACAATTACCTGGTGAGATGCACAAGCTTTGAGCAGGTCACTAAAAGCTGTGCAAAGTTGACGTGCTGCGTCTAGGAGCTGATCTCCTTGCTTTTCTGGGGCAAGAGCAGCTAAAACACGAACACCACGACTCATCTCCGGCAAATTACTGGTAATACTGGTGATAGCGGCGTTTATGCTCGTGTAGTCAGTTTCACCTGACAAATAAAAAAAGAGGGAAAAAAATTGAATTAGTTAATACATAAAGAATTGATGTATTTTGAATTAACTAGAAAAATTTCATTTTTTCATAAATTCAATTGTCTTTATTCCTGCTTATTTCTTGGGCGTTTCGGTCTATTCCCCCTAGATCAAGGACAGTTGATCCTGTTTTTAATTGTAAAATCAGGCTTCTTTCCAGTTTTCAGTTTTAGTTGTGCATCTTGACACTTTTGCCAGATGATTCACTTAATTTCCCTGTTCTGCGGTCAACGGAACAGAAAAAAAAGAGAGGAAAACTTGAAAATGAGCTGTACCTACAACTGGCACTTTATGCTTATTAAAAAAAAATAAATTTGCATCCTTCCCTTCCATCGCACTTTGGTCTTGTAAATATTGTAAGAATCAATAAGATTCTGCTCACTCAAGATTTCAAAGAGATAAAATAGGAGGAAAAAAAGTTTCACTGCCTTATTTTGAGAAAGAACCCCGCACAGAGCATGGGCTCAGCGGCTCTTTATGAAAGTCAATGAAACTTTAATAGATTGATATAAAGTTCATAATTAAGGGAAAGCCAAAAAATTAGCTCATTTTTGCGAGTAGAAACCAAGATATTCGCAATTGAATCCGGACTATTTTCTATCATGCCGCAGCATGGCGGAAGAATTCCGAGTCCCCTCTCCTCTCGTTGTTTGGCGTTCTCGATCAGACCTCACGTCACTCACGTGAAGATAGGTGCATATGCGCTCGGCTGGTGCGAATGCCGTACGCCCTCCCTCTCCCCGCATCTGTCAATTCTGTTTCAGCAACTACATTTCAGACTAAACCGGCCGGCGACGCCGGCACGGGAGAGGTGCGAGAAGCAGGGAATTCCATATCGCACAGCCCGAACGGAGCATCCCAATGAAAGGAGTGAGTGTAAAAAATGCGACATCATAGTTACCTGGTGGGAAGAGGGGGTTTCCTGGCCGAAGTGCTCAAGCAAGGTAAGGCGACATGGAGAATTTACCTCCGCCGCACAGAAAATAGTCCAGGTTCAATCGCGAATATCTTGACTTCTACTTGCAAAAATGAGCTAATTTTTTGGCTTTCCCTTAATTATGAACTTTATATGAATCTATTAAAGTTTCATCGACTTTCAAAGAGAGCCACTGAGCCCATGCTCTGTGCGGGGTTCTTTTAAAAGTAATTACTTATTTAAAGGTTTACCTGACGTAAGAGAAACAACTTGTGCGGTTGCAGCATTCATCGCGGCTATTTGATGACTGACATTCTGCTTGTTCGTATCTAGAGTTGTTTCCTTCCATTTTAGAGAAGCCTGAAAATTTTATAAATGATACTCGATTCATAAAGACATTAGGCAAAAAAAAGGGAAATGATGTGATAACACTCTGGCGCACATAAATCTGCAAAATTAACCTTAACCATTGTCAGTCACCTCCCTGGAAGGCTATTTATGGAGCATCCAGCTTGTTTTCGTAACACTATGTTGTTAGTTAAGTAGATTTTCTTTCAGAAAGTTTTAAAAAGCTGTAAAAAGTGGTTAGGGGCAGGCGTTGAGATTATTTACACCATCTCTGATAAGGAATGTCATCATGGCATGAAACAACACTGATTATTATTTGTTATTTTGGTAGAGGAAAGAGTATGAAAGGGTAGAATTGGGATAATCTTGTTAAAAAAACAAGGGTTCTCGTGCGGCATAAACCGGTACAATCTTTGATTTGCAAAATTCGAACTCTGCTGCGTTGGTGCCATACTCAACTTACAGCATCTCAATAATCCAAAATGCATTGTACAACTGTTAATTACCTCTCAGGTAACTTATCTATTCATTGATTACAGCTGGAATAATGTCTGCTTCTTTTCAAGTCAGGTTAAGCAAGACAAAACATGCAGAGATTCTCAGTCGTTATCGTGGAAGTGTCCCTTAATTTCAAAAAAAAAAAAAATAAGGAAAAAATCCCTTAAAAAAAAATATGCATCGGCTCTTGATTATATGTTTCCATAGATCATTCAGCCTAAAATCATAATTCCATCTTTTTTATACAGTAGAACTCATGTTTCTTTTTTAAAAACTAAGAATGATCAGGCAAGTGAGCTCTCATTTATGGGGCTTAGAGGACAAGACACATAAGAGCAGTTTTTGCTACTTAGAGAAATACAAGTTTGAAGTTTTGAAATTACATGGATCTTTATGGCGGAAAGAAAGTTCTAATTGACTTTTGGATGCTTGAAACGAAGAATTTGTAGGAGCGAATTTTTTACAGATTATGCATTGAGACTAGTTTTGCTGGAAATCATTAATATGTCAATTTTTCAAAAACTGCACTTATGGGCCTTGTCCTCCAAGCCCTTCATTTGAGAATGATAGGGGACAAAAGTAGAGAGGACACGTAGAAATTTAAGGGTCTCAAGGTTAAATCAGAGAGACACATGCAGAGACTTTGGGTTTAGCAAAAAAAGAGACTGAAAAATTGTTATTGTTAAAAAATAGACAGAATAGAAGTGTTGCGTTACCGAGTCAGTTCCTAATTCTGGAATGATAGCTTTAGAAATAAGTTCTTTCTCCACAGTGGTAATGATCTCATGTCCGGCAGTGATCGTAGATAGAAGAGCTTTGTGTGGCCCCGTTTGAACAGTAGTGACTTGACTTTGTTGAACCTTTAAAATATTAACAAAATACTTACAGAAAACAGACATTCACAGAAATGAAATAAGAATATCAAGTTGAATATATATTTACAAGAGAAAAGTGGGAATTGAACATAGAAGGTACTTTTTTTTCAATCTTGCTAGTCTACATAACTTTTTTGACGACTCACAGAATCTTAGAGAGAAGTTCATTTTTCAAAAAAAAAATATTCGAAGGCCCAGTTCCATTTATACAACACAATATAGTACATGAGTATTGATGACAGAATTGAAGAAGAAAATTTGAAGCACTGTGAATGATAGGAAGGAGGCTTTCAACATGAAATTTTGGATGAGGGGGCGTGCTTTGAAGAAACTTCATACACATGGATTATACACTCAAATTATGGATATTAAAATGTGAGGCGCAGAAGGACTTTTAAATTGGACTCGATGTGTGAAATTTCTTAAATTTATAAAATTTTAAAAATGGAAAGTGCAAAACCTTCAAGTGAAAGACTTCAGGGTTTAATTTTTCATCACTTTAGATTTTATTTACTAAATTACCTTTTTTGCGGATAGTATGAAGTATACAAGATAGAACCTACAGGGGTACCTACCTCAGGGGCCGTGCAATAATCCAAGTTTCAAGAAAAACTAAATAAACTGTGCCATTCGAAGTGCCAATTTTTTTAGCTCAAAAATTTAGGTGTCTTGAGAGCACTCATTAAAAAACTGGGCTCAAAAGATTGAACATACGCCGAATGGCATACTTATATCCGCTTTTTTCGAAACTTGGATTTTGGCGCTTGGGCCTTTTAGAAATATATTACTTCAAAAGAGAGAAGGATAGAATAAATGTATTTTTTTGGAAATTTGCTAAAAATAAATTCAACAAGACAGAAAAGCAGAAATGATTTTCTGCAATGCGTTTAAGAAGAAATAGAATTATGGTAGAGTTGAGAAAAAAATAAAATAAAAAATGCGGAGGTCAATGTCAATGAGATAGACATCACTGTTTAAAGGTAGGACTAGGTGAAAATAGATACAGATAGATAGGCTAAAATAAAATCTAAGTGACTGTTCGGTTTTAAAAATTGAATTGAAGAAGAAAAAAGTGAAAAGGATGAAATGCTACGAGAAATTAAATAACTAATGATATGCACTTAGGTGAGATAGCAAGATGATTTTGAATTTTGTGCGAAAAATTAAAATTCTCTCTGAAACAATTGTTCCACAGTAAAGGAATTTGCGTTGTAAATTTATGAAGTTGATGTAATTTTGAAAAAATGAATTGAATGACATTTAAACAAAGGTGACAAACAAAATACCTACTTCCGTCCATTCAAAAATGCCTATGTCACCTACGTTGAGCAAGCATGAACATACAGAAAAAGCAGCAAAATTATTTCCATGAATCTTAAACCTTACGTCCTCATATTTTTTTGAATTTTCTCTTGTTTGTGCTAGAGGTTGCTTTTTTTGAGGAGAATTCAATCTACTTCTACTTACATTAAAACCTTTCAATTCAATGGCTATCAATTTAAAATTAAATGAGTAGAAATACCTACTACTGAATTTTGCAGTGTGCGCAAAATAAACGAAAAAGTTGTTTAACAAGAGAAAATCCAAAAATAGCTCTGTTCATTAAATTTATGAATTACTAATACATTTGATGATAATATTATTTTCATCATTGAAAGACTGTTGAAAAATTTAAATAGACAGAACATAACCACCAAAGCATCCTGTTTGTACGGTGTTCATCAAAATCAATTGAAAATTGTTTAAGTAAAAGCCTGAACATCTTTTTCTTCCACAAAGATTTGAAGCAGCGATGGCTACCTGAATTTTACAAAATACTTTAAAAAAAGATTCTGTTTAGGAGCATTTTCTCAAAACAAATTTACACAATGCTAGGTAAACTTAAAATATACATGAGGTTGATACTTTCATAAATTGTTTGCAGAAACAAGTTTTGCTATACGACACGATGCTTTGGGTTGAAAAATTCAGAAAAATCAAGGACAACAGAGACCTAATTTAAGAGCAACTTACCGTTGCAGGTGGGGTGTGGGCAATATTGATTTGCCCGCTAATGGTGGTGTACTGGGCAGTTCCAACATGCCCCATTCCATACGGTCGTGCCCCTGAAAGAGATACTTATGAAGCTACTATGCACCAATACTACACTGACAACAATATATCAAACAATATCTTAAAAAGTAGTGGAATTTATAGCTCACAATGAGGAGTACAGCAGTAACTGATTGCAATTTCAAACAAGGACAAAAGGCTGACAACAGTAAAAGCATCCATTTTTGCAACTATTCAAAATTGGTACACTTTTTGTAGTGCTCAGAATCGGCGAAACATATTTACAATTCTTTGCGTAATTGAATTTTAATTTCATTATTATTATTATTATTTTTTACAAGATATCCAAGTATTCAAGGATATTCAGAGCATTTGATTTGCTTTCATGAAATCTCCATTTGAACAGGCAAAGTCTGGACATTGCAACCTAATTAGTCTGAGCTCTTGATTACACTTTGCCTCTTCGAATATCAGTAGCAATGTTGCTAAGGAAAAACGCCGTATGAACCTTTGGACATTGCCAAATTGGTTTTAATAAAATACAAATTTTCTGAGGAGCTTGTGAGTACTTGTCTTCTAATTTTTTAGCAGATGTTGTTTGCAATTCAATCTGAAGTATCTGAAAATTTGACAGAAAAAAAACCATGACTTTCCTCAAACGTAAATATTTTATGGAGGGAAATTTGGCAACTCATAAATATTCATGCAGCGTTTTCTCTAGCAATGGCAGAATATCACTGCTATTCAAAAGTATGTATGTATTCAGAGGTCATATGGTAGTGCTTTATTTCAGTTTCAGAAGATTTTCAAAATTTACTTGCTGATAGATGGCATCTGTAGGATTTAAGAGTCAAACTTTTTTATTTAAGAAAGCAGAGAGAAACAGCGCACCCATGGTACAACTCATAGCTAACAAGTGCACAGAGAATAGATGTAAAAATCAAACAAAAATTTACAGTGCAGAATAAACATAAAATTGCAAACTAGTTAAACTGAGAAGAGTGTATTTTTAAAAATCGTTGAAAACCTCTGATCAAAAATTTTTGAGAGTAAGATTTCAAAAAGTATAGCTCATTCATGATGTCTGAAGGCTTTGTAATTTAAAAGAAAAACTAAATTTCATCTCTAAAGGAAAAAATGTGTTTCTTTTTTTACTTACTTGTCCTGCCGGTGTAATGGAAAAAGGGGAGGGGGGGGGGAGGAGAGCACATATTACAGCAGAAACTAGAGTATTCTATTTTACAAGGTCCCCTCCTTTCAAAATCTGAATCGAGACGTGCAAAAAGGGTGGGAGACCAAAAAGTCAATTTTTCAGGGGAAGCAAAAAACTTCCTGTAGGACAAACAATTCGAAGAAAAAGAACAAAAAATATTTCCTATTGCGGAAGACTTGTCCTGATTGTACTAATAAGAATTGAGTCTCCTAAAAAATTTTGAACCTGCTTTTTAGGGAATTTTTTAGTTTTGATTTGGACTTCCGCCCTTTTCGCAACTGGGGAAAATTGATCATAAAAAAAAACAAAGTCCAAGATTTCAGCCCTTTTCGCATGTCACCAATATTTCCCTTCCCTATTAATCAACGTTAAAATGATGGACTTCTGCCCTTCTTTGCAGAGTCAATGTATATACATTAGAGGAGTCCAACAATGCAAAAAAGTCTATTTTGAAAAATTTGGACTTCCGCCCTTTTCGCATGTCTCGATTCATCTATGGTTTACGATTTAATTCCTTCACTTATTTCATTTTTTATTTTTAATTGTTTTCAACAATCAGTGCAATGCTCATCGAGGATTTTTCAGTTTTAAAGAAAGGCATTTGACACCCAAGTACTGTTCTTTTTTACAGTGAAAATAATGCAAGGCAAAAGGCTCAGCATCAGCAAAAGTTCAATCGATATCTTGAGGTATTCTATAATTACCATCAGCTCCTGCTCGCATGACAGCAGGTTTGGCAACAGATTCTGTGTTGACTTTACCCACTTTTGTACTTTCATGCTGCAGTATGGTTGCTCTGAAAAAAAAAAAAAAACAAGAAATGATGAATGCATGAATTGGATGAAAATAAATTTCATCGGGAAATATCTTGGTGCCACGACAGAAGTATCACATTTCCATCCAGATTTGCTTTTGACAACTCACAAAAGTTAAAAAATAATTATCTTAGATATAACAGAGTAAAAGTTCTGTTTGAAAGTTTTTTGAACTTGAAATACTTCGTCTAACATAAAAAATAAGACATTAAATCATTGACTACGACTGAAACTTTACTTGCTAAACAAAGCTAGTTCAATTCATTTCTGGCAGATTTTTGAAAATAGATTTAACGATACATCAAAGGCTTTAATATTGTGATAGATTAAAGGATGATTCTGAATGAAATCAGGTAATTTGACAGCTACAGGCTGATACAATTTGCACTCAGTCCAATCAAAACTCGAGACTAAATAGAAAATTACCTCAGAGGTGAAACGCTATCTTCAACCATAGTAGAGCCTTCATCTCCTTCAATTCCAAAGTGATCCTTGGCTGCTTTCTGAAAAGGAAATAATCAAAATTTGACACTTCATTCAGCAAAACTGCAAACTCATTATCGAAATTTACACGATATTTAGTGGAAAAGCCTTAATCGATTGATAATTCGACAGGACTGAGCTTTAATGATTAAAGTTAGCATATAAATGATCAATCAGAGATCAATTATCAAATTTTTGGTCTAATAGTAAATTGGAGGAAGGATGTTTTGGGTTTTTAAAGAGGTAAAAAATAAGAAAAGTTGACGATAAATGTTCCAATGATGACTTTACTTCTATTATTTGATTTTCTTGTTTTTTGCAGGTATAACCTTGGTAATAGGATAATAATTTTGAAGAATAAAAATCTAGAGGGTAAAAAAGCTTGTGTATTTGACTTCAGTCGGATGAGGAAGGGTGACTAAATACAATGTAATGGAATCTCAGAATATTCTTCTCATGGATAGTTCCTCAGAGATTATGGTTCCTACTAATCTAAGACCTCGAGAAGATTGCTTTAAAATTGCATACTACCAGTCGAAATTTTAAAAAATTTTACATGGGCTTTTTGTTTCCGTGTCAACAGGATGGACGAATGTAAGTTGAGTCCCAATGCATGGAGGTCATTAGGGGAGAAGGTAAATTGAGTCCCGACTCCTAATTGGTGGTACGTAAATTGAGTCCCGGTAGCATTATCACTGTATGTGTGAGGATGGGAGAGTGTGCGTGAGAGGCAAGAAATAAAGTAAAAATTTTGTGAAGTTAAGTGATTGTAAAAACTTTAAATTTTATCTGCAAGTATTCACGATTCATGGTTACTAAAAAGGTCGATTTGTTCCATTGGTTTTCTTGTTATTGCCTGACAAAAGAACTGATACGTACGCAACAGCACTTCGGTTTGTCATCAAGCGCTGTGTATATTTAGGTTTAAAGTTCCAACCGAAAGAAATTTTTTTGGACTTCGAAGAAGGTATACACAAAGCAGCTCGTTGAGTATGGCCGAATGTTAGACTTAAGGGATGTCTTTCATCTTGGGCAGAGTTGATGGCGCCACATACAAAAGTGCGGCTTTTAGCGACCGTGTATAAAGACTCTCGATCTGAACTCAGCAATTATTTAAAATATTTCTTCGGCTTGCCATTCCACTAATATTCAATGTTCACCAACGCAAATACAGTGGGACTCAATTTACTTATGGGGGATCAATTGACGGGACTCAATTTACCTATGGGTGATTAATTGACGGGACTCAGCTTACCCTCAAAAGATCGTTTGGGACTCAACTTACCTTTTCCCAACAGGATATTTTGATTTACATCCTGCAGCCTGATTGATGAAACTTTATCTAGCTTTGTCGGCAAGATAAAACAAAAATTAGCTCTATCTTTCCTATGCTATACTGTTATACATCAATTTTCGACGTCTTTTCATGCTGACCTAAATTTCAACAATTAGGCTGCAGTAGACTGATTTTTGAGAGGTATTAATAACAATTTATGAAATCAACTGAACAGTTTTGAATGCTTATATGTAGCTCAGGGACACATGACAGAGGTGTCAAAGTTAAAAAAGCGAAATAATTTTGCTAGTAAATAGACTGAAATAATGAAATTCCTTCAGAGAAATATGCATCAAAATTCAACTGCGAAAAAAAAATACAGGAATGGGCAAGTTTACCTTTTTCAGAAGGATATCAATATATCCAGCAATCAACTGAAGAATTTGCTCGGCTTCAATGGTCTGTACGCAATAAAACCCGTCAGAATAATCACCGAAATCAAGGGTGAATGTGTTGGGTGATGCGGCCCAACGACGCACTGAAGTCAGTGGCCAAACCTTTAGGATTTCTTTCGTCTTTTCATCAAGCCTTAAAACTGCATCTTTGGTAACTCCAAATAATCGTGGTACAAGTTTGTTCTTTCCTTGCATTTTTTCCTGCAAACAACAAATTCCAGTAAATAAAAGCATACAAAATGATATCAAAAATAAACTATTAAAAATGGTTCCTGCTGCCGATTAGGCATCTACTTTCTTTTAGACAATGACAGGCTCAAAACATATATAAAAGAATTTCCGATTTTACTGGTTAGACAAATTAAAATGGTGGTGCCCTTTACAAGCATGCTATTGTTATTCATCATAATTATTGTTTCAGAACATTAGGTGAAAAAGTAACTGAAAAGGAGTTCCATTAACATGGATTAATCCACAAGGCAGGTGCCAAAAGTCACTTTGATCACACTTCACCTTGTACGTAACAGTACGGAAGATCAATCAGTTGGGACAGAAAATTTTTAATATCTCCTAATACTCTAGAAAAGAAATAAGATTGAAGCAAAATTTAAAACAAATTAAGCTGAATTACTGGATATTCTTATTTCTGAACGCATTGGAAACGTTACTTCGAAGTTGTTTCTATTTGAACCTTACTGTGAATTTTCTATTCGCCAATTGAAAAAAATTAAATCTTTGATAAAACTGATACATTCCTCTGGGTTACAAAGCAAAATCATGTAGTTAAATCCTGACTGAATAATCAAACTCGAAAAATTTAAACACTTTGACGGAAATATAAAAAGTAGGAGACTCACCTTCACTAAGAAGAAAGTGACACCATACGTTGGCAAAGACCGAGCAGTTTTTGTATACAAAACTTTGGCATCTAGTTCAGATTTGTCGATATGCTTTGCATGCTCTTGAAAGATTTTCTTCTCAATACCTTTGACTTTGATATATGATTGGGGTAAAAATTCTTTCAACCTGAAAAAAGGGGTGCAAACAGGAAATGAAGTGACGATCAAAAAGAATCTAGGTTACTTAATATACTTTGAGAAACTAAGTAATAAGAGCTGATAATCAGTGGCGTGGCGTGCGTTGCGATATATCGATTGATCTGTCATTCAAACCTATGGAAAAGGATCGATAAACAGAGTGTTCGCAGCAAACACCTTGATAATCGATTCTTTACCATAGCTTCAAATGGAGAAATATCGATAATCGATCATTCACGCAACGGCACTGCTGATTATGATTTACGAAACTTTGATCATGATGGTCTATCAACTTGGTCATTCATGTGAGGAGCTGATATTACTTTATTGATTGTGGTCGATTAGATACGCTTCGCCTTTTTCAAAACCAGCACTAGCGTATAGAGACTTCAAGAAATACATGCACAGAAGCTTAGAAAAAGCCATAAATATACTTACTCTAAAAATGGTGGTTTATGCCTCATTTCATTGTAATTTCCAAATTGGATATGAGCTTGAATACCAGCCAGCTGGCATGCTAAATCTTGAGTAACAGGGTGAGTCCCATCTAGAATGGCATCCCGACACTGAAAATGAAAAAAAAAACCATGAAAGTCGATTAAAGAACAATTGAATAGAAAGCGCTTTTTCCAAAGTCAAGTTTTTTTTATCCTCCTGGAATCGCAGAATAATAACCAAAATAATAACCATCTTTCTGCCCTTGTAATGTCATATAAACCCTTTCTTCCGTTTAATGTCTTGGAATCTAGAGATGTTCCACATGCTGGGATGTTTTCTTAAAAATTAGGGCCCTACACAAAATCGCTAACAATAAAATGTGAGATATTCCTCCATGTTGACAAATTTTAAAGCATTGGCTTAACGGCCTTACATTAACAGGCTTGAACTTGATCCATTGCCAACTAGATGGAAAGCTCGAACAGGCTAATTGATTTGAATGACTCACTCCTCGACAATCCATTGATTATTTTACTTTTGGCACACTGTTCACTTGCTTCAAGTGAACGCCAAATGGAAGACGTGCCGTTGAGCAACAAAGTCTTACTGCGACACGAAAATTTCAAAAATTTGTACCTCATCTGTCAACTTTAAAATTTTTCAAAAGGATATTAACTGACAATATCCATTAGATTGAATTCAACAAGAAGAAACCAGCCTGGACTGGACTAATTCTGAGAAAAGAGACTTGAGGTTTCAAAATTATGTTAACTTCTGACATACAAATAAAGTTTTAAATTAATATAACGCTAAAATTTTTGCAAAACACGCACCTGTACATAAAGGAGATTTAATTGAATAGGATCATGAGTGTCAATGTTGCCATCTGAGAAGAAAAACTTCCTCCTTAAAAGGACTGGTTCATTTTCATCTATTCCTTGTTCTCTCAACGTCTTCGCTGGATTGATCCAATTGACTGAAAAATATGAAAGTTTGTGGTGAATAACTTTGAGATATAAAAAAAATAAACAAGGATTAAACATATCTTTTAAGGATGATTATTTTTGGTCCACTTAAAGATATTTTACAGACAAATTCTAATGCCTGTTCTTTTTCTTCAGAGATAAAAAGAAATTGATTGAATTGCAAAGTTCACAAATTCAAGACCAAAAATTGTTCATGATTCTCAGAAAGATAACCTTGAAATTGACAAATTTAAATAAAATAGGACTTTTTGCAATTTTGTTAGTTCAAACAGTAAAATAGTTGAAGCCCGGAAGGCAAAAACAGTAAAACATAGTCCACACCATATAAAATGGAGGGTGAGGGTTAGAATTATGAGCTAGCTTGGGGTTTTGTTTGTTGAAATGCGGGTACAATTGCTCATTATAAGGGCCGCCGCTACCTGAAGCCAATCACTTAAGTTCATCACTTGCCACTTTTTTTTCACATTAACTTTGACAAGTAAATAAATCAGAAAAATAATTATAAATGATCATCTTACTTTCATCATCGGTTTTTAGTTTCTTCCTAAGTTGTATCATTTTTGCATCTTTTTCTTTTTCTTCTTTTTTCCGCTTCAATGTGAGTGTTCCATAATTCGGTTTACTAAGGTCTACTTCATCTTCAGGAGTTTCTCTGACTAAACTGTATTCATCATGGTTTGTAATACCTGCAAACAAAGATAGCGGAATATATTATAGAATCTTTCATAAACACTACGACAGATTCCATTGTTTTGTTTTTTATTGACTACATAAGTTTGAGTATTTAGAAATTAGTGAATGGGTGCTATGATAATCTGCGTGCCCACCATTAATACAATAAATAGGATTGTTCACTACTGCATAAAATACAGGATTAAGTCAAACCTAAAGAAAAATTTAGGAACTTGTTAAATTAGCAACTCACACGATCTGTCGATATATGAATAGATTGACATGTGTAACTTATGATCAATTCAGATTTTTATGCATGTGGAGAGACGAGAAAAATCTGAACGAAGTTTGATAGAAATGATAAATTTATTAAAAAATGAATAAAAAAATTTACACATTGTAAATTTATATTTTAAATTGAGCTTCTTACCGTCAGTTGAAACCTAACCTCTATTATCATGTTACATATTTTTGAACACTTAGTCCACCATTAAGAACTTGATCACAAAGCCTTGACGGACAAATATTTGAACAAATTCAGGAATGCTCAAAAAATTTGAGTGAACTAAAGCCTCAATACATTAAAAAATTTCTGCTTGATAAAAAATATATCACTCGATGCAGTTTTGCTTGTAAATAATTACCTATTTTTGTGCAGATAACCACCATCAAATTGACTACAGGTTGACTGTCATCTACCATCATAGTTTTTACTGTCCCATCCAACATGTGAACTTTCAGTGTTCTCATTTTCTTTCTATACTCTAGCAAATCCTGAAACAAGCGTTGAATGTAAATTAAATGGTATTGATAACACAGGAAAAGTCTACAAGATTACTTTCATAAAACGTAAGCAAGCCCAATCATTGAAGTTGCGAATAAAGCTAGCGAAATTCTTCATCGTCAACTTGTTGATACATAATCAACACATCTGCACAAAACAGAATTTTTTACTATAGAGGGCTACACCATTAGAGAAACAGTTAACCTTGGTGCTACCTACTTTAACTCTATGTATATGAGAGCGTTGCATGGCTCAACTGTATTTATTTGCCACAAAAAACTATAAGAAGGATACAACTAGAAGTTCTCTGTGATGAATTTTTTTTTATTTTCTTTTTTTCTGAACTATTGTAAAGAGGGAGCTTGATTGGACGACATTGAAAAGAATCACCTTAACTACATTAAACATTGCCTAATTTCTCCACATGTTTTATTTTTTTTACGAGAACTAAACAAAATTCTACCTGAAAATATTTATGAAAAAGAGTATTTTCTTTTTACTCTCGAAGAATTTCAAAGAAAGAATCAAGAATTAACTGTTTCCTTGTTAAAAAATGAGACATTGAGGGAAATTCGGCAACGTAAAATTCAGTAACGCTGAATCTAATAGAATCCGTCCACAAGCCAGAAAAAACTATGTGCATAAAGTTTTGAGAGCAACTTAGTTCCTTTCAGCATGAATACAACCAACTAAAATTCAATTTTCATGCGATATTCTACGATTAATTAAATAATTCACTATTCTCATAAAACGACGGCTTTTGGCTTCATTTGACGCCAGATCATACTTTAAATGATCACAGTAGCAATCCTCTTACTGAATTTTTTTTGTGTTAATTCTACATATTTATTCCAACCAGGTTCCAGTTTCATACTGGAACGCATTAGAGTTCAAAAAATTTAATTTTGGATTTCTTGGCTTTGTTTTCCCCGCGAAATGGTGTGGATCCAGCACCATTTCTCCACCTTGTTACATACAGTTCGGGCCACTTCTTAGTGTTTTTTTTATTTATTCCAACTATATATTTTACCGTGTAAATACTAGAAAAACGACCTACATTCAGAATCACTTGACAACTTCAAAAAATATGCTCAGTGTGAAAAATTGGCATGATTAGGTAGATTAAAGATCGATTGCTTACCCCGTTTCGAAGGATGTAATACTCTAGATTTCTACCAGGTTCGAGCCAGACACCCTTTTTGTCATCCTCATCTGCTAAAAATAGACCATAATCTTGAGCTGCAACATACAAGAGGAAAAATTCATTAATTTTACCATCAAAATTAATGCTTCGTCAAAGTAATCAAGGTTCACGAGCGTTGTCACAGTTACAATCGGACGTACTTATGCTAAAATGAACTATGTGCATAGGGTATGCGTGAAACATAGTTCCTTTTAGCATCAATACGTTCGATTATTACACGAATAGTTTAGTTAACGAAGACCTACGTTACATTTGGGTCAACATTTTGAAAATGTCAACGACGAAAACGTAGTCTTGGCGACATTTCAGCATTCGAGCCTCAAAAATCGATGGGATCGATTTTTCGTCGCCAATGGAAGAACCACATCGAAATTTTTTTGTCTTTTAAAAATCAACCCCCCCCCTCCCCCCCAAATCGCCCGCGGTTGGCACGTTCAGGAAGACGGCGGCGCCGGGACGTTGAAAGCGGACTAATTGGACCGCGCTGAGGATGGCCGCTTGCCAAATCGATTCCGCTCCATTCATTTTTTCACCAACGAACGCAAACGCACACGCACTCACCCTAACGCACCCTCGCTCTCGCATCACCTCGCGTATAAACGCTATATTAGTGCAACGTCACAGAAAAGCGATATATATCGATTTTTTCGCACTGGTAGCATTGAAAGAGGTTATGCCAATGTTATTGTTTGGATCCAATTCGATATAATGGAGAATCCCTATGATGACGTCGCCACTAATAGCGTCTATACTGCCATGCTAAGGAAAAACACCGTGAGAAGATTTGAAAGTAGGCAAATTTCCTTAGACAAAGTGCTTAATTTCGAGAAGTTCTACGAATATTTTCTCGTGAAATTTTCAGGTAATTTAAATCTGATAACGAATAAAATCCTCTGAAAATTCGAGGGAAAATAACCAAAAACTTCCTGGAAAATTGATATTTAACTAAAGGAAATTTGGCGATGTCTCAAGGCTCACACGGCGTTTTTCCTTATCACGGCGGTATAGAACGCCGTTCTGATGATGTTACAACGTGACTGCTTTCACTGATGAGCCCTCTTGTTGCACGACTGAATGTGCTTCGGGGCTCACGTAAAAATGGGCTCACGTCCTACGGTGAGAAACGAAAAGGGATTCGGGATTCGGGATGCGGGGGCGATCCCAGCTAGCCCCCGCGGCTGAGGTAGAGTCTGGCTGATGCGCCCTTTTGAATTTAATCGTTCGCGGAGTCAAAATGAAGCGTGTATTTCGATGGTGTGCCAACTAGAATTTTGTGTGTACTATTTATGCATAATCGAGTTTTTGACGGAACACTAACTCTCGGGAAAACGATTTTAAAAGCAGGTCAAACTCGATTCGTTGTTTCCCAGAGGAAAGAACGCGGCAACAATGTCACCGCAATTGGAAGGAACGCGAACGCCGTATGCCGCCTTCATTTTATGGACTGCAACCCCGCACTACTCAGGCGTTAAAATAGTTGTATCACGTCGATTGCGTTGAACGGAGTCGTGCCGCTGCAAACACAATACCAGCTTGGTCCTTGCTTGCGTTGACTTTGAATAGTGTATTTCCCTAGGAAAATATACTTAAAATGTGCAAACTAATTCTTTGCACTTAATAATTAGTACTTCCTGTCTTCGCCCGGTATCTCGGGAGACATAATATCTTGAACACCCTGCACTTTTTCTGCACCACCACCTAGCCCCTTCCAAATGGCGAAGCTGAATATGAACATTGGAGGGCACGAATCAAAATTGTAGAGTAACCACAAGACATTTCTTAAATTTCTTTCAATTCGTTGTTTTTCTTCTTTTTTCATTGTTAAGAAAAAAATAAAAAAATAAAGCAAAATTCCGCCTTGAAATTTTTTTAGTACATGTTTTATATAATCTAGGAGAAATTAAAAGAAACATTTCAGGCCGTAACACTGCCTTATTTTTCAGGGAAAAAAAGAAAAAAGGGAGGAAGTTGGACACAGTAAAATGCAGTAAGGCCGATTCGGGTTAAATCCCTTCAATTCGTCGTTTTCCAGACAAAAGAACGTATCGACGTATTAACATTTAAAAATTTCCGTTCGCATTTTTTCCCTTACTAGAAAACTTTTGGAGATTTTTATTTGACAATTTCATTGTTTTTTCTTCTATTCACAGGAAAAAACCAGTTAAATTTTGGATGGGTACTGCGGTTAGTAATATTATTTAATATGAGTTAATTCATTTGAGTGGATTTTGTAACATTAGAATGGAGTTACTTTTCTTCGCCTCAGAAAATACGAATTGAGGAACAATGATAATTGAAAAGTAAGATGCGAGGAAATATTTTGATTTGATCAGTCCTGACTTTCAAAATATCGAAAAGCCAACAACTATTCTGCAGCGCTAAGGAGGAACGCCGTATGAGCCTTCAGACGTGGCCAAATTTCCTTCGATAAAAACCGAATTTACTGGGAAAATTGCAAATATTTTCCCCCAAAATTTTCAGACAATTATGTACGCAATTTAATCTAAAATATCTGAAAATTTCAAGGAAATATATGCTTAAATTGCGTCAAAAATACACGTTTTATCAAAGGAGGTTTGGCAACTCTCGAATGTTCATACGGCGTTCTTCCTTACCACGGCAGCATTCGTCGAGAATGAGCCAAACTTAGGAAACCTCCAAAATTTGATACTGTCTGGGGATTCCACGAAATGCCTGCATTGGTCATTCAATGGCGACACGTGTTTCTCAGTGGAGGGTCAAAACTTGTGGCTGAAAAAATCTGGCGCCACCCACATCCAAGCCGAGGACAAAGACCGTAAGAGCATCAACCTACGCTTCATCTACCGCCGCAAATTTTTGACATTACCACGGTTGCCAATTCGCACATATTATTCCGCATAATCCAAGAAACGACGTGCTTACATCCACCGACGAGGCAACCCCGCAAGTAAATAAATCCGCGATGCACTCGTATTTTTAGTTCCCGGCCGGACAATCTCATATTTTCTCGATCAACAGCCGGCTCGACGAACGGATAAATAATAATTGCGGCTTTCCGCGGAAGCGTAAACACTGGCCGACTGAATTTCAGCGCGCATAAACACTACGGCTGCCCGAAAAAACACGCACACTCCGGGGGAGCGGGGCGGAAGGGAGGGAGGGACGAAGTGATGACGCGAGAATACGACGGAGCTTAAACGTCACGGCCACGTTTCGCGGGTGCATCGTTGCCAGATTGGGCTCTGCTTCAGTTGGAATAACAAGGTGCATCCGCTTAAATTTCGGCCAGCTCTAAATGGACCGCGTTTAACAGAAAGGAACTAGAGTACCGTTATAGACAGAGTATGGCCATTTCTGTTCCGGTTTTTCATTGGTCGCGTGAAAATAGGCTGACACGATGTTCTTAGGGCCGTAAATAAACAAACAAGATGGCTGTTATCAGTAAGCAAGATTGAGGTTACGCACATCTTACATCCTCCTGTGATAAAGGTGAAAGGCGATTTAACAATGTTTTCATGTGTTTTTCGTGAGTTATTCGTAGACATGCTAGTTTAAATTGTTACTGCCGCATAATTGAAATTTGTGTCAAATTTAGCTTCTCATCGATGTTACGGTGAGCCGCCATCTTGTTTGTTTATTTACGGCCCTAAGAGCATCATGAAGCCTAAAAACTCGTTGACCAATCAAAAAGCGGAACAGTTTTCCTGTAGTAAAAAGATACGAATGGCCATACTCTGTCTATAAAGGTACTCTAAAAGGAACCAAGCCACATCAGCTATTGTCAAATTTAACTGATCAATTTAATTTTTTAGGTGAGAGCGTTTGTGCGAATACCTTTGAGAATTTTAAGGAATTTGCTTCGTAATACGGAGAAAATTCACTGAAATTTGCACGAAAATCTGTACAACCGTTTTCATGTGGAAAATTAAATTGCCCGATTAAATTTGGCAATGGCTGATGTGGCTTGGTTCCTTTCTGTTTAACGCGGTCCAAATACACCTATGCTACCGTGCTAAGGAAGAACGCCGTGTGATCCTCCAGGCGTTGCCAAATTTTCTTCGTTAAATCACAAAGTCCCGGGAAAATTCGTAAATACTTCTCTTCCAATTTTTCACATAACTCTCATTGCAATTTTCCCGAGGGTCTTGAAAACGTATCGGAAAAATATTCGTAACTTTCCTCAAAAATAGACATTTTATCGAAGGAAATTTGGCAACTCTCGAATGTACATAGGGCGTTCTTCCTTAGCACGGCAGTATGCGAGCAGTGAAATTGGAGGTCGTACACGAACTCACGCTTCATAAAGTATATGGATCGGAGCCGCATGCCGCATACGGACTGTAAAAAAATTGATGCCGACCTAAGAATAGAGATAGAGTTCATTTTAGTATGGACAAAATGAGGGGCTTGGAGGACAAGGCGCATAAGTGCAATTTTTGCTAATTCGAGAGACACGTTTTTGAAGTTCCGAAATTACATGGATCCTTAGGGCGGGAAAGAAGTTCAAAATGACCTTTTAATGCTTAGAAATTGGAATTTTTGAGCATATTTCTCACAGAATATGCATTAAGACTAGTTTTACTTGGGATCAACATTGGAAAAAAAGTCGCTTGGATCTAGAGTCCAGACTCTTGGAAACGATGACAAGAAAAAATACTCTTGATTCAATCGGATTTTTGCTTGAATCAAAAGGAAATCCGCTTAAATTGAGAGGTTTGGTTCTTGATTTAAGCAAAATTCGTATTGAATGGAGAGTATTTTTTTTTTGTCGATGTTTTCAAGAGTCTGGAATCTAGATCCAAGCGACTTTTTTTTCCGATGAATAATACCTCAATTTTTTTAAAAACTGCACTTATGCGCCTTGTCCTCCAAGCTCGTCAAATATTCCATACGAAGAGTATGGACTTAGAGTCCATATCGCATGGACCCAGCGTCTATACCGTATGAACAGTAAGTTCATACACCTGCTTTTCCATTCACGACATGTTTACGGCACATATCGATGGTGAAACTACCATACCACGTATCTCGGAAAACTCGATTTTTCAGGAGA